CTGGTGATGCAGGAGGCGCCAGCACACCTGCAGCTTCAAAGTCTGAGGCCTCCTCCCTGCCAAAGGGGAGGGGGGGGTTCCTGGCCCTAAAAAACCATGTGTACGGGGACTCTGCCAGCCACCTCCCCTGCGGCAGGTGGGTGCTGTCCGGGCAGGGGAGCCAGGTTAGGCTGCAGGTGTGTGTGAGAGAGGTGGGGGGTGAGAATTGGGGGACCTCTGGGGATCAGGGGGAGAAGGTGATGCAGAACTGGGGGCCTCCTAGGGGTGGGAGGGAGAGAGTGTCTGGGGATTGGAGATTTCTGTGGCCAGAGCAGCCTGCCCCTTCACAGCCTGAGGCCACAGATTTTTTTTTTTCTCACAAACACATCCCCACGCAGGTGACAGGGAGGTAGAGAAGCAGGTGCTTCACCCCAGATCCCCTGCTTTCCGTGTTTGCCCCTGTTCGCCTCAGAGTGCCCTGGGCATGAGACGGGGAAGATTAGAATGTGCAGTTTGGGACAATGTTAGCATCCAATGCCTTTTGTAACCTGACTTCTCTTTGCTCATGTCCCGGAAGAATAAAGAAAAGAAATGAACAACATACCCCTGGAGTTCATACAAAATAGTGTCGAATGCAAACTGTCATGGAAAAATCACGATTTAAAAGAAGAAAGAACAGAAAAACAGCCCGGCTGAGTGGCTCCGTGGTTGAGCGTGGAGGTCAGGGTTGGATTCCCAGTCAGGGCACAGGCCCGGGTTGTGAGTTCGATCCCCAGTAGGGGGCGTGCAGGAGGCAGCCGATCCATGATTCTCTCATCATTGATGTTTCTATCTCTCTCTCTCTCTCTTTCTCTCTGAAATCAATTTAAAAATTTTTTTTAAATAATAAAAATAAGTAAATCAGCCTTAGCCAGTGTGGCTCAGTGGATAGAGCGTCGGCCTGAGGACTGAAGAGTCCCAGGTTCGATTCCAGTCAAGGGCACGTACCTTGGTTGCAGGCTTCATCCTGGTCAGAGACATGAAGGAGGCCACCAATTGATGTGTCTGTCTCACATCAAGGTTTCTCTCTCTCTCCCTCTCTCTCTCTATCTCCCCTTCCCTTCCCTCCCCTCCCCTTTCCTTCCCTTCCATTCTCTCTATAAATCAATGGAAAAATATCCTCGGGTGAGGATTAACTACAACCACAAAAATAGGCACATCAGATAGTGCTGCTGGTCAGTTTGGGACCCTTCCGTAGTTTCTCCTTGTTGAGCGGCATGAAATCCAGGAGACCTTCCCTTCACACCCCAGCTGGTCCGGCCTCGGCCACCTCGGACCACCTGGCCATGCCCCCAGCCACCCTGGCCCATCTCCATCCCATGGCCTCAGCTGCCCGCGCCCCCCAACTCCACCTGCCAGCACTCTCTCTAAACCCAGCCTCTCTCTGTGTCCTCCTTAGGGTCTCTACCGTGTTCCTACTTGATCTGTTCGACTCTTTTTTCTTTTCTTCTTTTTTTAATATAAATTTAAAAAGAGCTGGGTGACCAGAGCATTTGTAACATGCTTAACGTCCAAGTCTTCCAACTGGTTTTTGCATTGATTTTTAAAAATATATATTTTTATTGATTTCCGAGAGGAAGGGGGAGGGAAAGAGAGAGAAACATCACTGATGAGAGAGAATCATGGATCGGCTGCCTCCTGCACGCCCCCTACTGGGGATCCAGCCCACAACCCAGGCACGTGCCCTGACCGGGAATCAAACCATGACCTCCTGGTTCCTAGGTTGATGCTCAACCACTGAGCCACACCAGCCAGGCTCCACTGATTTTTTAGAGAGAGTGGAGGGAGGAGAGACAGAGAAACATCGATGTGAGAGAGAGACACATCGATCGGTTGCCTCCCGCACGCACCGCGACTAGGGCCCGGGGAACCTGCAACCCGGGCATGTGCCCTTGATGGGAATCGAACCCGGGACCCTCCAGACCGCAGGCCGGCGCTCTATCCACTGAGCCACACCGGCTAGGGCTCCGCTTTCCTTTTGAAGTTCTTTTTCATGAAAGTGTTTGGGTGTCTTCCTTAGGGCAGGTCTGGGGAGTTGGCCAAAGAGCAGTGGTGAGGTTTTAAGATGTGTGAAAGGAATGATCCTGGCAGGAAACTCCCAGAAGCCCTGGCTAGGGTGTCTGTGCCAAGAAGGAAGAGAAAATGCGACATTTCCAGCCACGACGTGTGGCCTGGGTCCCAGCCCCACACACCCGCTGTGGGGAACCTTGGGCAACACGGGCGTTACCTCATCTCCAAACTTCTACCTTAGCGCCGCGGCCAAAAGACAGACCTTAATTGAAAAGCTGCTCCCGTGGCCCAGGTCCTCCCCTGGTGAAGTGATTTTCAGAAGGAAAGTGAAAATGAAAAGAGGAACAGAATGTACTGGGTGAGGGGTGGCCTGAAAGATTTTAAAGGTTTAAAAAGAAAAAAAAACACACACTTAAACAAAATGACAGGGTAAGTCAGACACTTCTCTTTTCAGAAGGGGCGTCCGCCTGCATTTGGGGTTTGGAAGGGAGTGGAATTCTTTTGCCAGCAGATTTAAAAGGTTAGGAGCAGATAGCAACGGTTCTCCTTGATTTCTGAATCTTCCTGGAGCCTCGGTTCTCTCTGTTTTGTGTGTATTTTTTCTTCCTCCTCACCCGAGGATATTTTTCCAATAATTTTTTTAGAGAGAGTGGAAGGGAGGTGGGGAGACAGAGAGAGAGAGAGAAGCATCGATGTGAGAGACACATGGATTGGTTGCTGCCCCCATGAGCCCTGACCAGGGAATCGAACCCGGGACCCTTCAGGCCACGGGCCGATGCTCTATCCACTGAGCCAAACCGGCGAGGGCTGGAGCCTTGGTTTGGTTTTGTTAATATTTATTTTTATTGATTTCAGAGAGGAAAGGAGAGGGGGAGAGAGAGAGAGAAACATCCATGATGAGAGAATCGTGGATCGGCTGCCTCCTGCACGCCCCCGACTGGGGATGGAGCCTGCAACCCGGGCACGTGCCCTGACCGGGAATCGAACCAGCAACCTCTTGGTTCATCGGGCGACCGCTGAGCCAGGCCGGCTGGGCACCAGCTTGGCTGTAACACGGAGGTTCTGTGGTGCTGCTTCCCCCTGTCCCCGTCGCGAGCTGATTTGGCTCAGGGGCCGTTCTAGAACCTGCTCGCAGGGGAGCTGGCCCTGGTGTAGACATCTTAACCCTCACGGCAGCCCAGTGAGCTTGCCCGGGAGGAGGGTGCGTGTCTATTTTTAATAGATGAGCAAACTGAGGCCCATGTAAGTTTCGCCTTGAGGTTACCCGGCTGGCACGGGACACAGATCATCCTCGCCTTTGACCTTCACACATCATTTGCATGACCTTCATTTTTTTTTTTTTTTAGCTGCGCGATATCTCTCTCCGTTTCTGAGGACGGTGGCTAATCATTGATGTTTCTCTCCCTCTGATCCTCTCTTCCTCTTTGAAATCAATAAAAAGATACTTTAGCCCTAGGCCGTTTGGCTCAGTGGATAGAGCGTCGGCCCACAGACTGAAGGGTCCCAGGTTCGATTCCGGCCAAGGGCACGTACCTCGGTTGCAGGCTCCCCGGCCCTGGGTGCGTGCAGGAGGCAACCAATCAATGTGTCTCTCTCACATCAACGATTCTCTCTCTGTGTCTCTCCCCCGACCCTCTACTCGCTCTATAAATCAATGGAAAAATGTCATCGGGTGAAGATTAAAAAAAAATTAAAAATAATAATTAATATATTTTAAAAAAAGAAAAGCTTTCTGATTTTATGATGGTTTTCTTTTTACCACCAGAGCGAGACGGCCTTCTGCTCAGCCATGACCGAACGTCCGTGCCTTCGACCCCACCTCCGGCAGCCTCGGCGGTGACGACGGCCAACACGGATTTGGGGGAGCGGCCACCCCGAGGCTTCATGGCTGGCATGTCGGGGCGACCGCCCAGCATGTACTGGTGTGTGGGGCCGGAGGGGTCAGCCGTGCGTCCAGAACGCGCCATGGACACGCACAATGGTAAGGGATGGGGCTGGCCGAACCTGCCACGCGTGTCCCCGGGGGAGCCCAGGCCACGGGAGCACAAGGGGTTCTCAACGGAAGGATCTAGCGTGGCTGTGAGGGGGGGACTTGTTTATTATAAAAAGTATCTGGGGATTCTCACTTAAATTCTAAAAATTAGCCCCGGCCGGCGTGGCTCAGGGGTTGAGCGTCGACCTAGGAACCAGGAGGTCACGGTTCGATTCCCGGTCGGGGCACGTGCCCGGGTTGCGGGCTCCATCCCCAGTGTGGGGTGTGCAGGAGGCAGCCGGTCCGTGATGCTTCTCTCTCATCGGTGTTCCTTTCTCTCTCCCTTTCTCTCTCTCTGAAAATCAATAAAAATGTATTTTAAATATTTTTTAAATAATAATAATAATAAAAACCCTTGGAGGCTGACATGCTTTGGAAATGACGTTGATATATCTCTTCGGGGTTTTCTTGGTGAATCCTCACCCGGCGATATTTTTCCATTGATTTTTAGAGAGAGGGGAAGGGAAGGGGCGAGACGGAAACAAAAGAACCCTTCCAGGTGGAGTTTAGAAAAAGATCTAAACGGGAATGAAACACATAGCTTTACTTTGGGGGGTTTTGGTGATGTGTGTGTGTGTGTGTGTGTGTGTGTGTGTGTGTTTTCTTCGTTTTTGATATTTTTTAAATTGACTTCAGAGAGGAAGGGAGAGGGAGAGAGAGAGAGAGGAACATCAATGATGAGAGAGAATCATCGATCGACTGCCCCCTGCACGTCCCCTACTGGGGATCAAGCCCACAACCCGGGCATGTGCCCTGACCGGGAATCGAACCTGGGACCCTTCAATCCGCAGGCTGATACTCTATCCATTGAGCCAACCCGGCCAGGGCCACTGCTCCCTGCTTTGACCAGCAACCCCACCCCCGCTTGTGTCTCTGTAGCACAGTTCACCCTGCCCCAGGCCAGGGATGTGTGAGTGCATGGCCTGCCGGCTGCCCGGTGGCGCCCAGCCGGTGTGTGTGTATCTGTCCCGTGTTTCGGCCTCACTCTGTATCCCAGGAAGGAAGGCGTGTAAGGTTGTCAGGGCTGTGCCCTCGCCTGAGCCCTGGGCCAGCCTGCAGGGCAATCCGTCCTGACAAACAGGGCCATGACACATTCCTGTCCATCACCACGGTCGGAGTGGACAGACCTGTCCGGCCGGCTCGGGAGGCTGCCTGGAAAGAGGAGAGGGAGGAAACTGAGATCCTTCGGGCCCAGGCCCCTCGGGGAGCAGACTTCTGGGCATGGGGGGTGAGGGGTGCTCGGACGGACAGAGGGATGGACAGAGGGGCGGACGGACATCCCCAGGGTGGCTCACGCCCCCCTCCTCTCTGTGAGGGGTCCTGGCGTCAGCAGCCCGCCGCTCGGAGCATGGTCCTCCCCTCCCCCGGACCCAGCATGGACCAGAGGAGGACAAGGAACATTCTAGAAGGTCTGCAAGTCCCAGTGTCCTTTTCTTATTCCTTTGGCTTGTTCAAAGCTGTGTTTTTTTTTTTAAAAAAAAACTTATTGCCTTAGCTGGTGTGGCTCAGTGGATAGAGCATCGGCCTGTGGTCTGAAGGGGCCTGGGTTCTATTCCGGTCAAGGACACATGCCCGGGTTGCGGGCTCGAACCCCAGTTGGGGGCGTGTAGGAGGCATCCGATCAATGGTTCTCTCTCATCATTGATGTTTCTCTCTCTCTCTCTCTCTCCTTCTCCCTGCCTCTCTGAAATCAATAAGAATATATTTAAAATAATAATAATAACTTCGCCCTAGCTGGTTTGGCTCAGTGGATAGAGCGTCGGCCTGCGGACTGAAGGGTCCCGGGTTCGATTCCCGTCAAGGGCATGTACCTTGGTTGCAGGCACATCACCAGTTGGGGAGTAGGGGTGTGCAGGAGACAGCTGATCGATGCTTCTCTCTCATCGATATATCTAACTCTCTATCCCTCTCCCTTCCTCTCTGTAAAAAATTAATAAAATACTTTAAAAAGGAAAAAAAAAAATAATAACTTCTTGCCCTGGCCAGTTTGGGTCAGTGGTGAGAGCATCGGCCTGAGAACTGAAGGGTCCCGGGTTCGAGTCCCGGCCGAGGGCATGTACCTCGGTTGCAGGTTCGATCCCCGCCCCCAGTTGGGCACCGTGCGGGGAGCCAGCCAGTCATGTGTCTCTCACACATCGATGTTTCTCTCTCTCTCCTCCACTCTCCCTAAAAATCAATGGGAAAATGTCCTTGGGTGAGGATTAACAACAACAAAAAAAGATGATGAAAAAGGAATGTAGGCTCTGCCCTGGCCGGTATAGCTCAGTGGTTAGAGCAACGGCCCATGAACCAAAGGGTCCCAGGTTCGATTCCCGATCAAGGGCACGTACCTGGATTGCAGGTTCAATCCCCGCCCTTCCCCCCAACCCCCACCGTCTCAGTGTGTGCGGGAAGCAACCAATCTATGTGTCTCTCACACATGGATGTTTCTCTCTCTCTCCCTCCCCTCCCTTCCACTCTTTCTAAAAAAAAATCAATGGGAAAAATATGCTCGGGTGAGAATTCACCAAAAAAAAAAAGAGGAAATGCCAGCTCTCGGATCTGATAGGACCCTGTCTTGCTTTGTCTCTGCCCACTTCCCCTTGGGGACTCTGAGGCCCAAGATCTGCCCGTCTTTCCCTGCCCCGGGGGGTCCTGCTCCCAGGGGTCCCGGGTCCTTGGCTCCATAAGCTGGAAACTCGGTTCTGTTTTGCTTCCTGGGGGGTTGGGGGTTGGGGGGGGAGCGGGGTGGGGAGGGCTCCCTTCCTGCCGCTCCGCTGCCTGCCCAGCCTACAGGCTCGGTGGGTGAGGCCGGGCATTTCTCCTTTACGGCCTTCATCTTCCTCAAAAGCTTGTGGGAACATGGTTGGGTGCTGGTGTCCGTGTTGGGATTCCCCGTCGCTGTCGGAACTCGGCCCGATTGCCGCAGCCCGCAGCGAGGGGCGGGAGGCAGGGAGGCTGCCGTGGGCTGCCTTGGGGGTTCGCCTGGACTGTTTCTGTCTTTAGAAAAAAAATGGCCCTGGCCAGTGTGGCTCAGTGGATAGAGCATCGGCCTGCAGACCAAAGGGTCCCGGGTTCGATTCCGGTCAAGGGCAGGTACCTCGGTGGCAGGTTCCTCCCTGGCCCGGGCCCTGGTCGGGGTGCGTGCAGGAGGCAACCCATCGATGTGTTTCTCTCACATCGATGTTTCTCTCTGTCTCTCCCTCTCTCTCACTCTCCCTGAAAGTCAATGGGAAAATAAAAATAAATGAAATTTAGTTAAACAGGGTGTTTTGCATGGTTTCATATGAATTTCTCTTTTTTTAAAAAAATATATTTTATTGATTATTTTACAGAGAGGAAGGGAGAAGAATAGAGGGTTAGAAACATGGATGAGAGAGAAACATCGATCAGCTGCCTCCTGCACACCCCCTACTGGGGATGTGCCCGCAACCCAGGTACATGCCCTTGACTGGAATCGAACCCAGGACCCTTCAGTCCGCAGGCCGACGCTCTATCCACTGAGCCACACCGGTTAGGGCTGAATTTCTCTTGTGTAGTGGGTGAGGCTCAGCGTGTTTTGGCATGGGTGACTCTGGTTATATCTACTTTCGTGTAACTTCCCGCGCGCCCAAAGGTTGTGGGTTCGATTCCCGGTCACGGCACAGACCTCGGTTGCTGGTAGGAGTTGGAAAGCCCCGGGTACTATCCTGAGTCAGGCTGGCCGCTGACCTGACATGAACCCCGCTGCCCCTGTGCCGAAGCGGCCAGACCCCAGGGCAGGCGGTGTGGACATGGGCCGTGGGACCGCATGGAGCTGCTCTCAGAAAGCAGGATCCAGAAGGGCCTGAGGCACCTTTGTCCGCGCTGAGCGAGAGGATTCAGTGCCCGCTGGCCGTGCTGAGCGAGGCAGCCGATGGCCAGGGTCATGGGCGAACATTTCCGTCGCTCGGGGTTTCAGCACAGGTCACACAGTTCTCGGTAAAAGAATCCATGGTTCTCTCTCATCGTGGATGTTTCTCTCTCTCCGTCCCTCTCCCTTCCTCTCTGAAATCAATTTTAAAAAATATATTAAAATAATACATTGGTGCCTCACTCTAAATGTCCCTCTGCATTGCGATCGTGTCTTCCTTCCCCGGTGCCCAGCTTGGCCAATAGCGAGTTGAATCCGGTTCGAAATTTTGCTTGGTTAAGCTGGAAAGTATATATTTTTATTTAAAATAATGTTTTATTGATTTCAGAGAGGAAGGAAGAGAGAGAGAAACATGGATCGGCTGCCTCCTGCGCGCCCCCTGACTGGGGATGGAGCCCACAACCCGGGCATGTGCCCTGACCGGGAATCGAACCCTGACCTCCTGGTTCACAGGTCGATACTCAACCCCTGAGCCACACGGGCCGGGCTCGATTGTACTTTTTTTTTTTTTTTTAATATATTCTATTGATTTTTTACAGAGAGGAAGGGAGAGGGATAGAGAGTTAGAAACATCGATGAGAGAGAAGCATCGATCAGCTGCCTCCTGCACACTCCCCACTGGGGATGTGCCCGCAACCAAGGTACATGCCCTTGACCGGAATCGAACCTGGGACCCTTGAGTCCGCAGGCCGACGCTCTATCCACTGAGCCAAACCAGCCAGGGCTCGTTTGTACTTTTTATCTCCAGGGAAAATAGCAGCTCTCTGTGTGCTACCCCGCCGCGGGATCGGTGTGTATACACATACACAGGGCTGGGCGAAAGTAGGCTCCCCAGCATCATCCAGAAGACAGTCCTTAGTAAATAAATAATAAGCCAGGAACCAGCTGTGTGTCTGGCGCACTCACGGCTGTCAGTCTACTTGTGCCCACCCCGTAGCGCCATCCATCCGCCTTTGACGAGCGGACACGGCGTCCCCAGGGGCCAGGTGGGGAGACCCACAGAGAGGCCGTCTGTCTGGGCTGCGAGGCTGGGCTGGGCTGGGTGTGACGTGTCTGTTGTGTGTGAGGGAGCCGGGCCCCCGGTGAAGGCCACCGCTGATCGCTGTCCCGATGCCGGGGGTCCGAGGGGCCTGGCATGATGGGGCCGGGCACCCGCCATCTGGAGCCGGGGAGGGATGACCGCGAGGGTCACCCTGGGGGTCACGCCGCCCTCCACGCCGTGAGCATCTTCCCCGAAGGAAGAAAGGCTTGGATTTCACCGTAATCCGACCCAGAGATGAAACTGCAGCGCAGGCTGAGCCTCTGGAGCCGGAGCTGGCAGAGGCGGCAGCGTCCCCCGCGAGGAAGGCCTGTCGAGTCCCAGCTGCGGTGGGCGAACCCCGCGGGCCCAGGAGGGTGTGACCTGCGGGGAGGGTCCGTCCCCGTGCCCCCCCCCCCCGCACCCCTCCGGCTTCGGCCACATGGGGACGCGCTGGAGGATGTTCTGGGAAGGTCGTTAAACAGTGATGACCAGGTAGGTAGCATCCTGGAGTTGCCTTGGGTGTGTTCTGCAGAGAACTGTGCGTTGATAGATACATTTTTATTTTATTTTGTTGTTGTTATTATTTTCGTTCATCCCCACCCAAGGATATTTTCCCATTGATTTTTAGAGAGAGTGGAAGGGAGAGGGAGAGACAGAGAGAAACACATCCATTGGTTGTCTCCTCCACAAGCCCTGACCAGGGCCCGGGCCCGGGAGGAGCCTGCGACCGAGGTACATGCCCTTGACCTGAATCGAACCCGGGACCCTTTGGTCTGCAGGCCGGCGTTCTGTCCACTGAGCCAAACCAGCCAGGACGATAGATATATTTTCACTTTCTGCTGCCATGTGGATGTAGGTGACTTTTTAAAATGCTATGGGTGTGCAAATAAGATCTGAGTGTCTTTTATAGGGCGTGCAGGGAATGCCACAGATTTTGAATCGACTGACAGTATTTAGTCATGTTTTCTTTGGTGAGGATGAGAGAATTAAGTGTTGGATATATAAATATATAAATAGAGCCCAGCCGAAACCGGTTTGGCTCAGTGGATAGAGCGTCGGCCTGCGGACCGAAAGGTCCCAGGTTCGATTCTGGTCAAGGGCATGTACCTGGGTTGCGGGCACATCCCCAGTGGGAGATGTGCAGGAGGCAGCTGATCAATGTTTCTCTCTCATCGATGTTTCTAACTCTCTATCTCTCTCCCTTCCTCTCTGTAAAAAATCAATAAAATATATTTAAAATAAATAAATAAATAAATAAATAAATAAATAAATAGAGCCCAGCTGGCATGGTTCAGTGGTTGAGCATCGACCTATGAACCAGGAGGTCAGGGTTCGATTCCCGGTCAGGGCACATGCCTGGATTGCAGGCTCGAACCCCAGTGTCTCCCTTCCTCTCTGAAAACAATAAAAATATATTTTAAAGAAACAAAAACCTTTCTAATGATTCCCATGAGCCAGCAGTGATGGTGATGCTGTGTGCACTTCCCTCCACCCAGGTGCCGGGGACATGGGCAGCAAACTGGCCACACCGGACGGCGACCCCGCCGGGCGGGGTCCTGGGACGGAAGACATTCACGCCGCGTACAAGCGGGGCGACCCCAGCAGAGCCCGCCACCTGCTCAGGGAAGCCTGTGATGAGTGCGCCTCCCAGCGGGAAAAGGTAAGGTCCAAGCCGGACCCTCTGGCCAGAACCGGGGCACCCGGCGCTGCCGAACCAGATTATAGACCCAGATTATAGACACACATTATACTAACATCAAATTACTGGTGTGTGTTTTTTTTTTAATATATTTTTATTTGGTTTCAGAGAGGAAGGGAGAAGGAGAGAGAGAGAGAAACAGCAATGATGAGAGAGAATCATGGATCGGCTGCCTCCTGCACGCCCCCTACTGGGGATCGAGCTCACAGCCTGCACATGTGCCCTGACCAGGAATCGAACCGTGACCTCCTGGTTCAGAGGTTGCAAAGATCAATCACTGAGCCACTGGGGCTGGGCTGGAGTGGCTTTCTTTGCAGACGGGTTTGGGAGGTAGAGGTAGTGGGGGGGGGGAGGGCCTCCTCATTTTGCACTATCTATGCTGTTGGAATTAATTTTTTTGGAGGGAGTAATCCTCACCCGAGGATATTTTTCCATTGATTTTTAGAGAGAGTAGAGGAGAGAGGGAGAGACAGAGAGAAACATTGATGTGAGAGAGACACATCGATTGGTTGCCTCCTGCACGAGCCCCACCCTGGGCCCGGGCCAGGGAGGAGCCTACAACCGAGGTACGTGCCCTTGACCGGGATCGAACTCGGGACCCTTCGGTCCGCCGGCCGACGCTCTATCCACTGAGCCAAACCAGCTAGGGCATATTTTTTAAAAAATATCTTTGAGTGAGGATTTTTTTTTAAAGATCATCATTTTAAAGGTAATTGATATTAACATAACAATCATTGATGAACTCCTTTGCCTATTGGGGGGCCACGTCTTTGAAATCGCATGTGCCTTCACACCCTCGGCACCTCTGGGCCACATTTGAAATCCTCAACAGCCGCGCGTGGCCAGGAGGGGGCGCCCTCCCACACAGCCCGGCTCTAGCCTTCCCCGTGGGCTTGGTAAAGCATGCGGAGGCGATTCTCTCGGCGATTTCCCACAGCGCTGGCCTCCCCGGGGTCCTGTTGCTGTTTGCTTTGACCAGGGCCAGCTCCTGAGCATCGCAGCGGCCTACGGGGACCTGGAGACCGTCCGCTATCTTCTCACCGAGAGGCAGGTGGCGCTGCCGACCGAGCCCACGGACGACAACCCCGCGGTGGTGGCGGCGCACTTCGGGCACACGGAGGTCGTGCAGGAATTGCTCGAGTCTTTCCGAGGTAAGTCCCACTCAGGGGACCCCTCTTCTTTAGGAATCAGACAGGCATTGGGAGGTCCTGCACCCCAAAAGGCTTATTTCTTCTCACTTTTACCCATGTTGAGCTCCGGTGCTCACACTGTAGGCATCTATGTGCCTTTTTATAAAATCTAATCGAGAATTCCTGTGGCCCGCTCTCCCCTTAGATTCCCCTCTGATTTACATTTCACATGAATGTGCTACATTTGTTCCAACGGTTGAGCCTATATTGATACATTACGACTCACCAAAGTCCACTCCCAGCTCAGTCCTTTTTATCACTGAATCCTGTTACATGTTTTGGAAGTGCCGTGTGATGTTGCTTTTTTAGTAGCAATTGAATTTTTCTTCTGGGAGACTCAGGGTGCTCTGGTCTCCTTTAATTTCCCACGGTGGCCTTGGATCTGCAATACGGTACAAGTGCAGGCATCGCTGCAATTATAGGCTGAGGCATTGCCTTACCAGTGGTCATTGAACATGAGGATATTTTTGGGGGTGTAGAGCAGGCTTCAAGGATGTGCAACAGTGGTGCCACACGGGGCCCTTTGCTTACAAGGGCCCCACACTTGGGTCCAACGCTCAACCGCTGAGCCACACCAGCCCGGCACAGTATCTCATGTTCTGAATGCTGCCTTCCCTCCCTTGGCATTATGCGATGAGCAGGTGGGTTTGTCATAATATGCAGATTCAGAGGGACTGTTCCAGAAAACTCGATCAAACTCGGCAGAAGCGAATTCCATCTGGAAACAGGACAGCTGGGTTTCATTGATGATCCAAGGGGGCGGTCAGCGTAGGGGCCACCAGTGCCGTTTGGGGCCACTGTCCCTCTGCCCTTCTGTCTCCCGCCAGGTCCCTGCAGCCTCCAGCGGCTGCTGAACTGGATGCTGGCCCTGGCTTGTCAGCGAGGCCACCTGGGGCTGGTGAAACTCCTGGTCCTGACTTACGGGGCCGACCCCGAGAGCTACGCCGTCAGGAAGAACGAGTTCCCTGTCATTGTGCGCTTACCCCTGTACGCGGCCATCAAGGCAGGTGAGTCCCGGCTCAGTCCTGCCCCTGGGAACTGGCATGGTTCTGAGATACGAGACAGTGTCTCCACCCTTACCCCCGCCTGTCAGTTACCTGAGTGGAGACATGACAACTCCTGCTATTTGGTTTTTTGTTGGTTTGTTGGTTTAACATGTTTTTATTGATTTCAGAGAGGAAGGGAGAGTGAGAGGGAGAGAAACCTCAATGAGGAGAGAGAATCACTGATCAGCTGCCTCCTGCACGCCCCCTGCTGGGGATCGAGCGTACAACCCAGGCATCGAACCGGTGACCTCCTGGTTCATAGGTTGATGCTCAATCACTGAGCCACCAAATGTCTGCATCCTCCCTGATTCCTGCCCAGTGTCACCCGGTCAAGGGGATTTCAAGGACAGCGACCGGCTGTGGCCAATGGCACCGTGGCAGGCGGTCCTGCCCGCAAAGGGCAGAGTCCCAGACACATTCACACTGGTCGGTGGATCCTGGAGGTCACAGAGAACTTGAACCAGCACACGTTGAACATGTTTCGTTTTACGTGGCGGTGTGCCTCCGCGCCCCCTCCTGGCCACGTGTGGTTGTTCAGGATGGGGGCGACGTCTGAGACGTCCTGAGGGTCCCACGTCTGCCCCCCAGGGAATGAAGATATTGCCATCTTCCTGCTTCGCCACGGGGCTTTCTTCTGCTCCTACATCTTGCTGGACAGTCCCGAGCCCAGCAAACACCTGCTCCGGAGCTTCTTCATCGAGGCCAGCGCCTTGCCCAGCAGCTGTTCAGGGAAAGTGGTGAGTAGCCCCTGCCCGTGGATAAGCCGAGAGAGAAGACGGGAGAGAGCCCGGCCGGTGTGGCTCAATGGTTGAACATCGACCTATGAACAATGAGGTCACGGTTCCATTCCCGGTCAGGGCACATGCCTGGGTTACAAGCTCGATCCCCAGTAAGGGGCGTGCAGGAGGCAGCTGATCCATGATTCTCTCTCATGATTGATGTTTTTCTCTCTCTCTCTCTCTCCCTCTCCTTTCCTCTCTGAAATCAATAAAAAATATATTTTTTAAAAAATAAAAAAGAAGACGGATATAGACCGGCCGGTGTGGCTCAGTGGTTGAGCATCGACCTATGAACCAGGGGGTCACGGTTCCATTCCCGCTCAGGGCACATGCCCGGGTTTCCGGCTCGATCCCCAGTAGGGGGCGTGCAGGAGGCGGCCGATCTGGCTCTCTGTTCTAGATAGATGGGCAGTTATTCCAGCAGAATTTGTACAATGAAGCTTTCTTGTCCCTGTGAATTGAAATGTCACCATTGTCACTTTCCCCCAAGATGTACCTGTGTGCCTGGTGAGGTCTCGGCACTGGTCTCCTGGCCTCTTTATTCCGTTAATTCGAGTTTTCTATTTGCTGTTTGATTTTTCTCAACACTATCTTGACTGCTACTACATATTTGTTCTTCCGTTTTGCGCATTTTTTGCGGCGACTGGATTGATGCTCATTTCTGTCCTTTAATGACATTGTGTCATTTTCTCCATGAAGGCCCCAGGCCTGTGTTGCTCATTTGTGTCTTCTTTATTGATTTAGGCGCTATTTGCATGGAAATATATAATTCTTTATTATCCCCTTTTCCGTCCGACTTGATGTTACTGGTCTGGAGAGAAGTTCTTTAGTTTCTTGTTTGTTTGGTTGGTTGCTTTTTAAAAATAATTTACATTTATTCATTTCAGAGAGGAAGGGAGTGGGAGAGATACAGAAACATCAATGATGAAAATCCTTGATCAGCTGCCTCCTGCATGCCCCCTACTGGGGATCGAGCCCAAAACCCGGGCATGCGCCCTAATTGGGATTCAAACCGTGACCTCCTGGTTCAGAGGTCAGTGCTCAACCATTGAGCCACACCAGCCGGGCTTCTCTTATTGAATCTAATAGTTTTTAGAAGAGTTCCTGGGGGGGGGGGGGGTTAGGTATCGGATCAAGTCACCTGCAAATTGCAAACAGGTTTGTCTCTTCTAATATTTATACAACTTTTTTGAGTGGATGTCTTATTGTGAATAACTAGACATTTTGAAAGTGGAATCATTGTGATGATAGATCTTTCTCTCTTGTTCCTGATTTTAAAGGTCTTGCCTGCAGCAAGGTAGGGGCGTTTGCTATAGATTTCCTGGAAAATAGACTGTTGTTATATGCAGGTAGTTTCCATGTTATTTCTTTTTGCTCAGAGCTTTTATTAGGAAAGTTTGCTGAATGATGTCAAACCCCATTTCTATATTTCTGGAGGTTTTCTGCTTTGTTTATTCATGGAATGAATGAGGGTGATGGATGTTGGCTCTCTAATTTCTGTAATAAATGCTCATTGGCTTTTTTTGCTGTTGAATTGGACCCACTGATATTTTATTGACCATTTTTTGCATCGGTAACGTTTCGCCGAACTGGTCTACAGTTTTGTGTTGTTTTTATGAGACGTTGCCTAAGGCTACGTGAGTTTGACAAACCGACTTGGGGAACTTTCCGTCTTATTCAGGAAGTTTCATTAGAACTTGTATTGTTAAGGGTGACATTTAGCCCGGCCGGCGTGGCTCAGTGGTTGAGCATCTACCTAGGAACCAGGCGGTCTCGGTTCGATTCCCGGTCAAGGGCACATGCCCGGGTTGCGGGCTCGATCCCCAGTAGGGGGAGTGCAGGAGGCAGCCGATCCATGATTCTCTCTCATCATGGATGTTTCTATCTCTCTCTCTCCCTCTCCCTTCCTCTCTGAAATCAATAAAAAATATATATTTTAAAGAAAGAAGTAGTTGGCATCTACATTGAGTGGCAAGATTATTATGACCACCCCATCAGTACTTCATTGACACTTCATCCAAAAATACTGAACATTGAAAACTTTTTAAGCAAATACTCTCCAGGTGTTATTATTATTATTATTTGCATAATTAATTCACTTCATTGTACTGATGGGGTGGTCATAATAATCTGGCCACTCAGTGTATATCTGTGATGAGAGAAAGATATACCTGGCTTCCCTTCTCCTTGGCCCTTTGGCGAAGACTCTGAAGAGAAAATGAAACCGCAGAGCAGCTGGAGTCAGCAGGGCTCGCTGGGCTTCCCCAGAGCACCTGGGACTTTTTTCTTATTATTCAAGTGACGTTCAAAAGGCGAGCACCTTGCAGGGGGAGTGTCCGGCTGCCCGGGTCTCGAACCTGGGACGGCACAGTCCCTCTGAGCTGCCGGCGGAAGGGAGGGTCTGTCCACAGGGTCCAGCGATGAGTCAGGAGCCAGAGGTAAGTGTTCCTGCCTCTCCAGGGGCCCAGTGGGGGTGGAGCCGGCATTTGGGGTTCGGAATGTCAGGCGAGGGCAAGGCATGAGAAGGGTGCTTTGCTGCCATGTATGTACGAGGCCGGAAAACGCCCTTGACTTCACTGGCAGTGAAGTAGTTGTCTCGTTCTTGAGTGTGTGTGTGTGTGTGTGAGTGTGTGTGTGTGAGTGTGTGTGTGAGTGTGTGTGTGTGAGTGTGTGTGTGTGTGTGTGTGTGTGTGTGTGTTAACCTCACCCAAGGGTATTTTCCCCCCATTGGTTTTTAGAGAGAGTGGAAAGGAATGAGGACAGAGAGAGAGAGACATCAATGTGAGAGAGACACAACAATTGGTTACCTCCCTCACATGCCCCAGGGCCAGGGATCGAACCTGCAACCCAGGAACGTGCCCTTGATGGGGAATCAAACCCGCCACCATGCTCAGTGTGAGGGCTGGTGCTCTATCCACTGAGCCATACTAGCCAAGGCAATTTTTTTTTCTGATTCTTTTTAGAGAGAGTGAAAGGGAGGGAGGGTGGGGAGAGAGAGACAGAGAGAGAGAGAGAGAGATGTGAGAGAGACACATCTGTTCGTTGCCTCCCTCACACGCTCCAACCGTACCTGCAACCCAGGTACAAGTCCTTAACCGGGAATTGAACCTGCGGCCCTTCCGTGCACAGTCCGATGCTCTATCCACTGGGCAACACTGGCCAAGGCGAGTTGGTATTTTTTAATGTCATCGTGCTGCCTCTGTGGAGACAGGCCGGTGGAGCCCAGAGCCCTCCTGCATGTCTCCCTGCCTTGCATCGCCTGGTTCTCAGGCTTCTAGAACCTTCCTCGGACAGCAGACAGGGGACTGCCGAGAAACCCCCGTGGATCTCCACTGTCCGCTGAGGTTTTTAATGTGTGTGTTTTTTAATATGTTTTCATTGATGTCAGAGAGGACGGGAGAGGGAGAGAGGGGTAGAAACATCATTGGTGAGAGAGAATCATCGACGGATCCGCTGCCTCCTGCACGCCCCACACTGGGGATCGAGCCCGCAACCCAGGCCTGTGCCCCGACCGGGAATCGAACCGGGACCTCCTGGTTCGTAGCTTTGAGAGGGTGTAAGACAGTGGTTCTCAACCTTCCGGCCCTTTAAATACAGTTCCTCATGTCGTGACCCAACCATAACATTATTTTCGTTGCTACTTCATCACTGTCATGTTGCTACTGTGATGAATCGGCATGTAAATATCTGATATGCAGGATGGTCTTAGGCGACCCCTGGGAAAGGGTCGTTCGACCGCCAAAGGGGTCGCGACCCACAGGTTGAGAACCGCTGGTGTAAGCGCTGGGGCGGGTTCGGGGTCTGATGACCTAGCTCAGGAGTTGAAGACAAGACACGCACCGCCACCTCGTGGCCAGAGAGGGAAGTGCGGCACAGCAGCCGATTTGAACAGCAAACTCGTGGCCATTGACGGGTGTCTCCTCACCCAGCCGTCAGCCCGCGGGTGACACGGTCCGGTCTGGGGAGCGCTGACGTCTGTCTGTCTAACTCTCTGGCCCGCCCAGCCTCTCCGTGTGAAGTGGGCCCACCTCAAGCTGCCCTGGGTGGACATCGACTGGCTCATCGACATCTCCTGCCAGATCACGGAGCTGGACCTGTCGGCCAACTGCCTGGCCTCCCTCCCGTCCGTCGTCCCCTGGGGGCTCATCAACCTGCGGAAGCTGAACCTCTCGGACAACCACCTGGCCGAGCTGCCCGGCGTGCAGTCCTCCGACGAAATCATCTGCTCCAGGTGGGCCTCCCTCGGGGCCGGGGCGCGGGGCGGGGGGTGGCGGGGGGGAGCTTGAGCCGGGGGAGAGGGGGTCTGCACCCCAGTTGCTGGCACCAACCTCTGCTGCCTGTGTCCCTGGCTGTGTTTTTTTTTCTTTAAATATTTGTATTGATTTCAGAGAGGAAGGGAGAGGGAGAGAGAGAAACATCAATGATGAGAGAGAATGGTGGATCGGCTGCCTCCTGCACGCCCCCTACTGGAGATCAAGCCCACAACCCAGGCATGGGCCCCGACCGGGAATCGAACCGTGACCTCCTGGTTCCTAGGTTGACGCTCAACCACTGAGCCACACCGGCCGGTGTCTCGCTACATTTCGAACGCACACGCTCCTTTAGCCTCGTGCACGCGGAAGGAGAAAGGGCGGCCTCCGTGTCCGCAGAGATACCGAACAGGAGCGTTTTCCCTCCTCCTTCTGATGCCTTCACTTCCTTCTCCCCCCGCAGGCTCCTAGAAGTCGACATTTCCAGCAACAAGCTGGCCCACCTCCCGCCGGGGTTCTTGCACCTCTCGAAGCTGCAAAAGCTGACGGCTTCGAAAAACTACTTAGAGAAATTGTTTGAGGAAGAAAGTGGTATGTCCCGTCCTCCGCAGCCTGACCTGATGGGTCGTCTCCTTCCTGATGAGGATCTTTTGACCAAGGCACCCTTTCCCTCCCCCGTCTAGCCACCAACTGGATCGGTTTGCGGAAGCTGCAGGAGCTGGATGTTTCTGATAACAAACTGACCGAACTCCCGGCGACGTTTCTTCATTCTTTCAAGTCACTCCATTGCCTGAATGTCTCCAGCAATAAGCTGAAGGTGTTCCCAGATGCCTGGGCCTGCCCGTTGGTGAGTATCAGACCGGAAATCCCGGAGGGCTCAGTGCGCTGCCTACGGAGTGTCACTCAGGCCCGGCCGGCATGGCTCAGTGGTTGAGCGTCGACCTAGGAACCAGGAGGTCACGGTTCGATTCCCGGTCAGGGCACATGCCTGTGTTGCAGGCTCAACTTCCAGTGTGGGGCGTGCAGGAGGCAGCCGATCCATGATTCTCTCTCATCACTGATGTTTCTATCTCTCTCTCCCTCTCCCTTCCTCTCTGAAATCAATTAAAAGAATAGGTTTAAAAAAAGAAAAGAAAGACATGTCACTCAGCATTTAGCAACTGAGTGTCTGAGGCAGGTAACTCACCAGAAAGCCAGACCCATGTGGCTCTGGGCTTGAAATTTGCACCGTCAGACCCACAGACGTTTCCATGGTTACAGCGTGCACATGGGGCACAGGATGGCTTCTGCCCAAGAAAGGGGGGCTCGGTTCCTTTCAGACGGCTCTAAACTAAGAATGAAGCGGAGCCCTGGCCAGTGTTGCTAAGTGGTTAGAGTAGCAGCCCTCCCGCCAAAGGGTCACGGGTTCGATTCCCAGTCCAGGGCACGTACCTGGGTTGCAGGTTCATCCCTGGCCCTGATTGGGGCGCGTGCAGGAGGCAACCAATGGATGTGTCTCTCTCACATCGATGTTTCTCTCTCTTTCTCTCCTCCCTCTTTTCCTTCCACTCTTTTTTTTTTAAATACATTTTTATTGATTTCAGAGAGGAAGGGAGAGGGAGAGAGAGAAGAAACAGCAATGATGAGAGAGGATCATGGATCGGCTGCCTCCTGCATGCCCCCTGCTGGGGAGGGAGCCCACAACCCGACCTCCTGGTTCATAGGTCGGCGCTCAACCACTGAGCCACACCGGACAGGCCCTCCCACTCTCTCCCTAAAAATCAATGGAAAACATCTTCTCGGGTCGAGGATTAACAAAACAAAAAAAATAATAAAGAAGAAGGAATCCGCCTGCGTCACACCGCCAACAAAATGGTGTTTCTGTTTCTTGGGAAGTTTGCTCGTTAGAGCGGACGGAACGGCAGAGAGAGTCTGCTCGCTGTGGGTTCAGAGCCAGGAAACTCGCCGTCAGCAGCGCCAGCGTTTCCAGTTTAAACATCTGCGTGTGGGAATCCGGCTGCTCTCCAGAGCTCGGGCCTGAATGGTCCCATTATCTCCAAGGACAATGGGCCAGATGTTCTGGGCGGGAGGAGAAGGGCTAGGAGTCCCCCTCACCCACCCACCTCCCCCCTTACTCTCCCCACCCCGTCTCCGTCCCTTCCTTGGAGCCAGGACGGGAAAACGAGGCAACCACAGTGTGTAGCCTCTTAGTGAACTGAGTGCTATTTGTCACGGAGCCATGGTGCAGCGGTCTTATTGCTATTTTATTGTTAATCCTCACCCGAGGCTATTTTTCCACTGATTTTTAGAGAGGGTGGAAGGGAGGGAGGGAGAGACACAGAGAGAGAAACATCCATGTGAGAGAGGCGCATCGATTGGTTGCCTCCTGCACGCGCCCCAACCAGGGCCGGGGATCGAACACATGCAATGGAAGTAAGTGCCCTTGACCGGGAATCGAACCCGGGACC